AACCCGTTGCTGTCAAGTCGATTCCAACTCCTGGTGACCCTATAGGACAGAGTAGAACTGCCCCTTAGGTTTTCTAAGGATCGGCTGGTGGATTCAAACTGCTGACCTTTTGGTTAGCAGCCTCTGTGTGCGTGTACATATATGTATACACATACAAATATACATATATATACACATACATACATATGTATTTACGTATATATGCATATATATATTCCATCAGACAATATCTAAGTTTACAAAGTGCCATGCACTGATATTTCCATTTTCTACTATTTCATTTGCAAACACTGTAGCTTTGACTAAACAGATCTCCTTGCTTACAAATGGGTCAAGACCTCCTCCAGTAGGTCCCACACAGTTGAAAAACACTGCTCTAAACCATAATCATTCAGGCCTTACCCAAGTCCAGTTCTGATCACTCTATTCTGAGCTCTCTGAAATTCCTAGAATTTAGTAGTCATATTGTATTTTCTGTACTTACCAGTTGCCATTGAGTCTATTTTGACTCATGCCAACCCTATATGTTATAGAACTGCAAACCATACAGTTTTCAAGGCTCTGACCTTTTGGAAGCAGATCACCAGGCCTTTCTTCCAAGGTGCCTCTTGGTGGGTTCCAACCGGCAACCTTTTAGTTAGTAATTGAGCAGTTAACTGTTTTTGCCATCCAGAGTCTCCTATTTTCTGGACTACCCATGCTTAACTTGATACTGGAAGCTTCTCTAGGGCAAGGTAAATAATACATTGCTCAGTATTTGGCCATTGTGTTTCTAAATCTTACAATTGTTGACATGCACTTTTTCAGTTTGTCTTTTCTCTGGAGTGTGGCAGAGAAAAAAGGTCAAATAACCAATGTACATATTACGCTTAATTTCAAACTGGAAAAGTTTACAAAGTAGTCCCAATTCTCTACGTGTTGTTAATTTTTACTCAAAACAAATCATGAAGATAGAAACGATTTTTCTAGTAGCTTTCATTACTAAAAAATGCATGAAATACTGAAATCCTGATACAGCCACAAAACAGCAGCAGAACTAAGATCTTACCGCTGAAATATTTTCAGGGTTGATAAAAATAGAAACGTGTTCTGCGGGATCAGCATTTTTTTTTTTTTCCTACAACTCACTACTACTATACCTGAGACTGTGTTTCGAAATCTGGGCCCCAGATATGTGGTTCGGGCCAGTCTAGGATTGGAACTCGGGAAAAGGCTGGCAGGGTGTGAAGCCGGGCCTCCCTGTTTCCGGCGCCAGCTCCCAGCAATTCGGCGGAGTACCCCGCCAAAGGCGTAAAGACGCTCAGGAAGGACTGTCAGTGTAACCCCGCCCCGCTGTCGTCCCCTCCTGGTACCTTCACCACGAGCGGTAGCAACGGCCCTAACAACGGCCCGGCTCCTCCCCCTGGTGTCTCGGAAAAGCGCTCCGCCGGGTCCGTTCGCAATCTGGGCCCGGTGCGCGCCTTGGGTTACGACGCAGCGGAAGGCGCATGGAGCTGTGCGAGGGCGCGCGTGCTGTGCAGGTCTGAATCTCACTCCGTTCCTTCGCGCGTCTCCGCGACTCTCTGGGGACCAGTAGGACTGGCAGGAGTGGTGAGGCCGCGGGGGTAGACGATTCTCGTCAAGCCCTCTCGTAGGTCGTTCTGCGTGCTCTCCATGGGCACTTAATGTTTTTAGGAATTTGCAGGCCCTTTGGGAAAAAAGCTTCCAAATTTTTCTGTCCCCTCACCCCCGTCCCCGCCCAAGGAAAGTCTGCACTGGCAAAATCAGTCCCCTGGGACTCTCATTTAATTTTTATTTTGGAGTGATTTGCGGATGATTGTAATCACGAAAGGGGAATCTTAGTACAAACAAAGGAATAGGGATATGCAGTTCTGTGTATTTAAAATATTAAGATTATGGATACTTAATAAGGGAGCCTGGTTCTTATGCCTAAATTCTTTCTTGGGGAAAGTTGGACAAGTAAGGAAGTATATTAACACTTTCAGGGGCCAATTCCAGGCAATTGGGTGATAAAGTCACTATTTATAATCGCCGCATTTAAGGACTACTGGCTGAACCCCAGGGTACCATGAAAAACTAAGGCAGGATGGTCTCTGGTCTACCTACCACGTGGTGGGTGATGTGGGAGGGGCCAATAGCCCTGTATGAAAAAAGTCCTGTATGGTACCTTGGATTAAAAAAAAAATAAATGTCGAACCTGTACATACTATATGACCAGATTCTTAAAAATATCCCAGTGCGGGGAACAATTGAAATGGGTTTTACCTAGTATTGACTTGGTCGGCGCTACAAGATAGGGGAGTCTTAGGTAATGTTCCGTTGGGACATGGGAGTTGAGTCAAACTACTTGTAGCTAGGAGCCTTTTCCATTATTGTTTTGCAATAAAAAACTGCCAGGCTGCCTTCTATGAACTTGGCTTCTGCCTATGGCCCATAAAATAGTTTGTCAGGTACTTCAGTAGGAAGATGTATACTGGATGCTGATGCCACAGAACACTTTCTCATCGTACCAACTCCAAAAATATATATACATATTTAATAATATTTTATTGTTTTTGGCAAAGGTTTACAAAGCAAGTTAGGTTCTCGTAAAAATTTTTATACAAATTGTTCTGTGCCTTGGTTACAATTTTTATAATGTCAGTATTCTCATTATTTCCACTCTGTTCTGTTTCCATTGGTCTAGTTTCCCTTCCCATCCTTGACTTCTCATTTTTGCTTTTGAGTGAATGTTGACCATTTAGTTTCATACAGTTGATTGCTTAAGGGAGCACATTACTCATGGGTGATAGTGTTTATTTTATAAGCCACTGTATTATTTGGCTGAAAGGTGCCCTCTAGAAATAGCTTCAGTTCCAAGTGGAAAGGGTACTTTAGGGCAGTAGTCTTCAGGGGTTCGTCTAATCTATCGGTTCAGTAGGTCTGGCCTTTGTTAGGGATTTGAATTTTGTTATACATTTTTCTCCCATTCTATCTGGAACCTTCTGTTGTGTCCCTGGTCAGAGCAGTCAGTAGTGGTAGCCAGGCACCAACTAGTTCTCCTGGTCTCAGTTTATAAGAGGCCGTGGTTGGGGTGAGCTATTAGTCCGTGGACTAGTTTCTTCTTTGAGCCTTTGATTTCCTTCATTCCCTTTTGCTCCATACAAGTAGAGACCAATAGTTGTATCTTAGATGGCCGCTTGCAAGTTTTTAAGACCCAGGATGCTACTCACCAAACTAGGATGTAGAACATTATGAACTATGTTATGCCAGTAGACTAAGTTATCCCCCAAGACCATGGTCCTAAGCATTTTAACCCAGTAAACCAATCCCAAGAGTTGTTTGGATATGTCTAGGAAGCCCTGGTAACTGTGCCCCCTGTGTTCTTTGATATATATATGGATATATATGCAGCACACACAAATGTGTATATACATATGCTTACAGATACACCTATGCACGCACGTGCATTTATTCGTATATGCTTTCCTATACACATATGCATACATGTCTCCCTACATAACCACACATGTATTTTTTGGTGTTGTAGTTGCGAACTTGTATATATTATACCATTTACTGCCCCAAAATATTTTTCTTATGAGAACTTGGTTCGGTTACTGTTTTATGGCTATCTTAAGTGTTTCATGTGCTATATGGTAATGAAAGCTGCTAGAAAAATCATTTCTATCTTAATTTCGTTTGTGTAAAAATTACACCTGTGTGTTGGGATAAGCTTGTGTACTTTTCCAGTTTGAAATTAAGCATAATGTAGAGACAGGTTATTAACCATTTTTCCATACCCTTACCCCAAAGAAAACCCAAACTGAAGGATGTATTTATTTGATTGAGTCAACAAATACCTGTTGAATTCCTCTTGTTACACAAGACATGAGGATAGGTGATAGCAGGAAAATGCTGCTCCTGTAGAATTGGCTGTCTGCTAGGAGAGTTAGATTCATTAAAAGGTAATTCCAAATTAAATTTTCCATGTCAAACATGTAGAACCACTCGTAAGTGCTCAAAGGATAAAGAAGTTTAAGGAATTACCGTAGCCTATACATGAATTGATAAGGAACTAAATCAGAATCCTGACTTTGAGACGGAAAATAAAAGATTATGTGTAAGATAGAAATGATGCAACTTGGTAAGTAGTTTTGGAGGGAAAGAGGGCAGAAGGAGAAGTAAAAAATTAGTTTTCAGCCTGAATGGTAGACTGATGGTTAACACACTGACTTTCATGGCATCCCCAGGATCTGCATTCTTTAGGCCATTACTCCTGGGTTTTTTGGTGGCACATGTGAACTCACTAAATAGCTACTAGAATACCCAGAGAAATGGAGTCAGCTTGGATTAGTCCAATCCCATTTCTTTTTAGGTTGAGTCCCATGATTTGGATCACTCAGAACTACTGGAGCCTATAAATGTTTCTCTGTAAGGGACCTTGGGTAGCACACGAACAAACTCAAACCCAGAGGATTTAGGTGAAGCTTCTTTAGCTTCCTAAGTGCAGTGATTAGACCCCTGTTGGTTAGTGACAGTTGACATTTTGCTGGCTAACAGAGGGTCCGTAGCTGCTGTTTCTAGGGACTGATAGGATCTCTTCCCAAAATTTTAAGGCTGCTCCTGTCCTTAGAATGAATTTTTTTTTAAATTTTAGTCAGGAGTTCTTTACCTGAATCTGTAGATGGGTTCTAGGGGATCTGCGAACCCCCTGAAATTGTGTGCAAAGTATCGTGTCTGTATGTTAAGGTCCAAGGCTCTTGTCTGATTCTTAAAAGAATCTGAGACTCAAGAAAAAGTTGCAGGTTAATATCTCGCACTCTTAAAGTTGTTGAGGGAATATTTACAAAGATAGAAACCATTTTTTGGGCAGACGACTTAGAGTGATGGTCAGAAGTAATAGTTTCCATTTGTGAGGCAGGAAGAAGGGATTGGGCCATCTTTCTCAAATATTACTTTGTCTGAGCAACCCAGAATATAAACCTGTGCCTCATCAGTACTCACCAAAAATATTTACCATATTTTGGTTTTCCCCTTGGGTAAATTTGGCAAGTACATGTTACTTTTTCTTCAATGACCAGCATACTTTTCTTTATATCTTTATTTGGATCCCAAGTTTATGGGACCTATAATCTTAAAAAAGCTCCTGATGAGTAGTTAAATTAAAACCAAAAAAACCCCTTGCCGTGGAGTTGATTCTGACTCATAGTGACCCTATACTGGATAGTAGAACTGCCCCATAGGGTTTCCAAGGCTGTAATCTGTATGGAAGCAAACTGCTGCATATTTTTCCCACTGAGCCGCTGGTGGGTTCGAACTGCTGACCTTTTGTTTAGCAGCCAAGCACTTAACCACTGCACCATCAGGGCTTTTCACAAATTTCTTCTTAAGTAATTTCTTCCTGACATATTATGTTGTATTTTATGTTCTACTGGACTTTGTGTTCACTTTCTATTTGGGAGAGACAGAAAGCTTCCTGTTGCCATCACACAGCTTTTCCTGTGAGTGTTTTTACTCAGAGTGCCTGGAGCAGCCTCATAGTTAAACACCACAATGTAATGAGGGTTTATAAGGTAAAGAGAATCATTTTACAGCTGTGGAAGGCATATCAAATCTAAAAGGCCCGAGTTTCTTTTTCTCCCTTGAAAGATATCCTGCTTACAGAGAGTATGAATAACGATTTTGGCAGCCATCATCCTTTTTGAAGAAAATGTTAAGCGGGAAAGTTATTTTGTCTCTAATATTCAAGAATCTGAATGGTATTTTTTAAAAAGTAGTATGAATCCTTAGAGTGAATGAACAATTAATGATACTTTGTAAAATTTTAAAATTTATAGTCAAACTTTATTTTCCTGGGCAATATTTCACCTTATGGGGTGTTTTACAAATTATAATTGGTTGTAGATGCTGCTCATTTTCTAGTGGCTGTTTAGTTAGTGTTGTGTGTGTTTTAAGGTGGAGAAGAATTTGTCTTTTAGAATATATTCAACTAAATGTTACTAATTTCACTGAAACCTTATACTTTATCAGACTTCAGATTGAGATTTGAGGTTATGTAACATCAGAGTCAGAGTCTATGGCTGAATAAGTTTTTGACTGATACTATCATTAAATCATTACATTTATAATATAAAATAAAGTTGCTGTTTTTAGAATGAAAAGGGTTGTTGAAAAATGTATTGTCAGTACCTAACCTTTATATTTGAAATAAGTTTTCTAATACCACCTTTTTATTTTTATGACGGAATGGCTCAAAAGGGTAACTACAGTTTGTTGTGTTTGAGTTTATTACTTCCTGATTTTATTTTTTAAAGCATGCCCATGTAGTGGTTTTAAGTATTTATTAATATTTATTATTAAGTACTAAAAATACCATGCAATTGTGCATTAATTTTTTTGAGTAATTTTCTTTATGGAGCAGCGAGTAAAATGTTTCCTGTTTTATTTTGCTCTCCCCCTCTTTTTTTAACAGTGCACCTATGATATATATTTTGAAAATAGATGTTAAACTTGAGTTTGAATGAAAAATGTCATTCAATCAACCTGTGTTTCTCAAAGAAAGTGAAGAAAAGAATTCAAAATTTGTGGAAATACAACAGTCACAAACGACTTCCGTAGTTTCAGAAGATCCCCTTCAAAACTTATGCTTAGCATCTCAAGAAGTTCTTCAAAAAGCTCAGCAAAGTGGGAGATCAAAATGTCTCAAGTGTGGTGGTTCAAGAATGTTCTACTGCTATACATGTTATGTCCCAGTTGAAAATGTGCCAACTGAACAGATTCCAGTTGTAAAGGTTGGTAAGAAATTTAATTGTTTGAAAGTAGGAAAATAGATTTTAAAAGATGTCTTATATATGTCTGTGCTAATGTAATTGAGAAGCTTCATAGCATGAAAATGAATTGTATTAATGGAAAATTTAAAACATGGCCAAAACACTTGGGTTTGAAATGAATGGTATTGTTTTTCATGATATCAATAACTTTTCTTTAACGTAGTATTTAATTTGAAGTAAGAAATGTGCTTTAACACTCATACTTTGTTACTTGAGTTTCAGTTTAGCCTACCTGTCATTTTGGCAAGTCCATGCTGTCCTTGAGTGTCTAAAATTACACTCTCAGAATGGCCAGTCTAATGGACAGTTCACTAAAGAAGCATGGAATGTAATATAAACTTCACAGTTTCTTCAGAACAACTGAGAACTTGAGCATAATAATTCCTTTTAAGTTTTCCATTATCTTATAGGAATGTTACATTTCAAAGTATAGTTTTTGAAGTACACACAGAATTATTCTAGCTTCTGTCTCTATCATAGCTACATAAAGAATGTATCCCATTACAAGTTTTATCTTAAGATGTGTTCTATTCCAAAGGATTGCAGATCAGAATAAAAAAAGTCAATAATCTATCGACAGGGCTGATAGTCTGATAGAAATTTAATAATAGAAGATTGTTTTCTAAATCAGTGGTCTAATATTATTATTTTGGCTTTAACAAACGGAAATTTATTTTCTCACAGTTTAGGAAGCTGTAAGTCTGAATTCAGGTTGCCAGCTCTAGGGGATGGCTTTTTCTCTCTGTTGGCTCTGGAGGAAGGTCCTTGTCTCTTAGAGCTTCTGCTCCTGGGTGATCTTTATGTGGCTCTCCCATCTCTGCTCACTTGCTTGCTTGTTTAATCTTTTTTATATCTCAAAAGAGATTGACTTCACCCTTTCACAAAAAACTTGTATACAAATGTTAATAACAGTATTATATTAATAATAGCCAAAAAGTGGAAACAACCTAAATGAAGTACCGATTCATCCTACAACATTATATGAAAGAAGCCAGTTGTAAAATAACACATATTTTATGATTCCATTCATATGAAATGTTCAGAATAGAGATATCTAGAGAGATAGTAGATTAGTGGTTGCCTAGGGCTGCAGGGGGTGACAGTGAGAGGCTAGGTGAGATGGGGAGCATTATGGACTATATTGTGTCTCCAAAAATATACTGAAGTCTTAACTCCTGCACCTGTGATTGTGACCTTGTTTAGGAAAATGAAGTCTTTCTTTGAAGATACTATCAGTTAACTAGGTCATACTGGAGTAGGGTCTTTCCTAATCCAACATGACTGGTGCCTTATAAAAGAGGAGAACAGACGCAGAGATAGAGTCATACAGGCAGAAGAAACCATATGAAGATACATCTACAAGCAGCCAAAGAATACCAAGGATTGTGAGCAGAAACCAGAAGCTAGGAGAGAGGCATGCAACAGTTTCTCATTGAGACCTCACAGAAGAAATCGACGTGGCTGATACTCTGATTTGGATTTATACTCTTCTGAACTGTGAAACAATACGTTTCCATTTTTTGTTTTTGTTTTTTATTGTACTTTAGGTGAAGGTTTACAGAACAAATAGTTTCTCATTATGCAGTCAGTATGCATATTGTTTTATGACATTGGTTAACAACCCCACAGCATGTCAACAACACTTTCCCTTCTCGACCTTGGAAGATCTCCCTTCCCCTTTGGTGAAAATATACATAGCCAGAGATACACCATTTCAAAAATCTCCACATGTACAATCCAGCAACATTGACCACATTCTTCCAGTTGTGCTGCTATTCTCACTATCCTTTTCCAAATTATTCCATAACCATTATCTTCAACTCACTGCCCCCTAGGCTTCCCATCAAACCTTTTGAGTTGCTGTTGTCAATTTGATATCACATAGATAATTCTTTTTTTTTTGTACTTTAGATGAAGGTTTACAGAACACAGTAGTTTCTCATTAAACAGCCAGTACACATATTGCCCTACGACAATGGTTAACAACCCCATGTCATGTCAACACTGTCCCTTCTCAACCCCGTGTTCCCTATCACCAGCTTTCTGGTCCCCTCCTGCCTTCTAGTCCTTGTCCCTGGACTGCTGTGCCTCATTAGTCCCATCTTGCTTTATGGGGCTGTCTAATTCCCGGCTGAACGGTGAACCTCGGGAGTGACCCCATCAGTGGTCTAATATTCAATAGAAATGACTGAAACACCTACCAAATATTGATCAACTCTAAATCACTTACCAGTATACTGGACTTTGCAGAGTTTTTAAAAGTGTTTGTTTTAATCAGCACGTAATAAAATTTTATAGGTTAATATATATTAATAGTAGTAAAACTCTACAACCTATTCTTTCTAATTTGTCTTATTTTTACTGTAACAAATCATTCAGCCTTTGCTTTTAGATAGCCTGCTTGGGAAGGGAGGATGACTACATGATGAGTAAGTCCCCCCCCCCCAAACTTTAAATTTTAATAGGGAGTATTCAAAATTCAAAATATAAATCCAAAAACTACAAAGTTCATAAAATAAAAAATATGATCAACGCTAGAGGCCCTAATACACGGCATTAAAAATATAAAATATTTATATTTTAATGCAGGATATGATTTTTTAAGCCTTGGGAGATACATAAGCAAAGATTAAAAAATCCTCTTGCTTTTTTTTTGTTCGTTTGTTTTAAAGGGAGACAAAAATCAGAAGGTAGAGAAAGCTTCATCTTTATTAGAGTCCTAGAACTTCAAAGCCTCTCTTTGCTCTTTTTGAAAAGTTGATAATCACTTGGGAAAAAGCTTAGGCTTCCTACTAATGACATTTTGTTAAATTTGGGCAGAAAAGTTTGTGGTAAATCTCCTAAAAATACATAGCTGTTAGAGAACAGGTTGATGTTCTTTTTACGTTTGAAAACATCAAACTGGCATCTGGGCAACTCTGTTGGTGGTTACCCTGCAGCCTGACATTATTTAAGAAGTATTTTCCTTTAAATGTGAACTAGAATGTAAACATATAATTCCATGATTTGATCTGTGCCTCGGCTTTTGTTTCATAGTATTGGAAATCTCAGGCTTGCTCTGGGAGAACTAAAGATACCCAGACTGGGTCCCAAGCATATTTCTTGAGCACAAATTTTACTAATTATCTTATACCTATAGATTTTACTCCATAAAACATTCTCCTTTTATTGTATAATTTTAAAAATAGCGTAGGTGCATGATTTGTAAAATATATTAATAGCATTCAGTTCTGTGTCCTTGATATAAATGGTACCCTTCAAGATAGCCAGCTTATCTGAAATATCGGCCATCCGCATTTGGAGTTTTCAGCACTACTCATCAGCCATATAAGAAAGTCATTTTTATTAGTAACAGAATACTTTGTCATGATCGGCTTTCTTCTTTCCTCTTCTTGCCCTTCTCTGGGCTGAGATAAGGCTGACCTGGTTCTGAGAGACCCTGGGGAGAGGGAATGTAGTGTCCACGCACCGAGTGTCATGAGGAAGGTCTGATGTAGAGTTCAGCCAGGAGTAGACTGATGTAAAGTCATTTGCGTACTGCCTACTTAAATGGTAAACTTCCTATCGTTAGAAGTTGGTTTGAGTTAAGGCAATTGGCCTTAACTTATAAATAATCAGCAGGCCTAAGTCTTTTGTTACAAACAGGGAGAATGGGAGCCATGTTGGAAATAATTGAAAACTATTTGGCGTACGTATTTGTGGACTAGGGTCCTTCTGGGGTTTATTATTTATACTGTCCTCTCCCCATGTAACAGTTTATAATAGATAAAATATATAAAGTTAGGATCATTTAGTAGCATGTAGCAGCTGTTCCTTTCAAAAATAGTTCTAGAACTAAGATACACGCAACAACATGGATGACTCTCAGAATAATTATGCTGAGTGACAGAAGCCCGATGAAGAGAGTACATACTGTATGACTCTATTTATATAAGATTCTAGAAAATATAAACTAATTTAAAGTGACAGCAGATCAATGATTCCCTGAGGACTGGGGGCAGTTGTTGATGGAGAAAGGGGAAGGAGGGAGGTACAAAAAAACTTGAAGTGTTGGATTTGTTCATTGTCTTGATTGTGGTGATGGGTTCAAGGGTATAGCATATGTCAAAACTTATTAGAATGGACACTTTAAATATATGCAGCTTATTGTATCTAGCTTTTTAATAAAACTGTTAAAATAGTTTCTACCCCCAGGTAAATACATAAAATCCTGCCTGTTTAGTATGGGATGTGGGATTGGAAAACAGGAGAGTGCTTATTGTAACAAGTCATTTGAAATCTAGAGTGAAGAACCCATATCAGGGAGGGTTTTTTATATATAATGGGAGAGATATGACTTGGTTTTCATTTTCATAATCATGACAATGCAGGACTTGAATAGGCGTTATAAAGAAAGCTAAACCAAACGAACTAAGGTGACTAATAGACTAAAATAACTCAAGAAATGCAAGAGTTTTATTTTTGCACAGAGGCAGGGCATAATCCATAACAAATATTGAAACTTTTAGGGAAATTCTTAGGTAAGATGATTTTGAAGCAAGTTATTTTTGATTATACAGATTGCACCTCCTAGACCTATTCTGTTTTTCCAATTTTTAAAAAATATATTTTGTATTTCATTTGTGCTGTTAAAGGCCATTGCTGAGAATCATGATGTTTACAATGAAGGAGAATATCTTTGGCATTAATGGATGTACAAGGAACAAAATTTTAGCTTGAATTTTAGATGTGAAACTTTTGCCCAACATTTCCTTTTAAAATAGCATAAAGTCGACAAACCTATAGTTATTCTTGGCATAGATACTGCAATGCGAGGAGTTGAACTTAATACCTGTGTAGTTTAAATGAAAATGGCGTTGGAGCTTTAAGAGCAGATTTTGTGTTAAGTGAGTTGAAAATAGTTGTTCTAGTACATTATTACTAATATTGAGGAAGAAATGTGGGTTTGCTTTATGACTTCTCACTTAATATTCTGCTCTGGAAAAGTGTGACTTTCAAATCATGAACAAATTTATAGGAAATTATTATAATTTATGATTATAATCATTATAATTATTGTAAAAACATAATAATTGTAATTATATTTAAGCTTTAAAGACCATTGCTGTTAACATTGAAGATTAGAAATTTTATATCTGTTTTGTTCATTTGTCTTTTTTTTTTTAAATTTTAGCTTCCATTGAAGATTGACATCATTAAACATCCAAATGAAACAGATGGGAAAAGTACTGCTATACATGCAAAACTCTTAGCGCCTGAATTTGTAGATATTTACACGTATCCTTGTATTCCAGAATATGAAGAAAAAGACCATGAAGTAAGCAGTTAATTTCTTTACAACTCTTCACATTGAATCTAAAAATGAATTTTAATTCTCTTGCCTTTCTGAACTTATTTGAACGTAATATTTGTTTAACGACCTAGTGCTATCCTTACGTAACATTAAGCAGTGTACAGTTTACTTCATTGATGTCTTTAATGGTCAAATGAACCTGGACTGTTACGCTTTCTTGAGTCTATCTTTCTACTTTTTATAGTTTTAATGCATTATTTCTTTTGGCTTTTACTCTTTGCCAATAGTACTGTGCCTGCTTTTGCTTTCTCCCTTCTCCATTCTCTGGCCTGTCTAATTTGATGCAAACTGGGAAACCAGATTACAAGTCTGTTGGAATTTCTCCGAAAAAGAAAACAAAGATTGAGAAGGAAATAGGAAATTCTCCCTAAATTAAGAGATTTAGTATATAGCCTTTGCAACATTTATTTTTGCTCACAGACCTCCCTTGCTCATTTCTAGATTCTTAATAGTTGAAATTGGCATAATCTGTGAGATATCACCAGTCTTTTTGCTGGAAAGTGAATGCTACAATAGATATCAAGATTAGGCGTTGGATACTTATGAAAGAAACATGTAGACCCTTTGCGATTCTCTTGAGGATCATTTGTTGGCGTGATTAATTTAAAAACAAACTTAAAAATCAATGCATTCAGGAGGCAGGGCCAAGATGGCGGAGTAGTCAGACGTTTTTGGTGGACCCTCTTAGAACAAAGATCTGAGAAAATGAGTGATTCAATTATACATGGCAGTCTGGAAGCCCTGAACATCAAAGGCAGAGTTGAGGAACTGGACTGAATGGCGGGGGGAGGGAGAGACGGTTTGGAAACAGCGAGGAGTTGCCAGACCTCACCTGGTGAGAGCCTGAGCCCTTCAAGCCTGAGCAGCTTGTCTGTGAGCGGTGAGGCAGGCAAGTTTCGGTGCTTAGGAGGTGCGTTTTCCGCACCGGGAGAGACCCAGTGCCAAAGAGTCTATATGCCCACCCAGAACCAGTGAGAAGTAGCCCTCATCGGTGAAAGATAAGTGCTTGCATACGGCTTACCACACTGATCAAAAACACCCCCCTTAGGGAAAAACCTCTCTCCCATTTATCTCCCTGCTCCCTGCTCTGCACTGGGTCCCGGACCGGCTTCAGCAATTGTCAAGTCCCCTGGGCTGGAAGTAGGATCCATCACACGCCCAGAGCCATTCTCCCTGAACAAATTAACAAAAGGGAAAAAATAAACTGCCGGCTGCCATAAGCCAGGAACCCAGGGTAGGCGCACAGCTCCTTTGCCTAGGCACAGGCTTAAGGGATCCGCGGACTTTGAGTGCCTTTCCCCTGCATAGACTTGTGTGGGCCCATCTCAAATGCGTAGGCCCTCATTACTGCAGTACAACAGGCTATATACTGGAAGTCTAACTTCAACTCTTTCTGCTGGGAAGTGGCAGGTTCTTGATGTTTGACACTGCTCTGCCCATTAAGCAGGGTCTTCACCTACCCACAGCAGGAGCCTGAGGACTGGTGACCCCACCCATGCCACCTAGCCACCTGCAATAGGGGCCCATGAATAAGAGGTGACCCCCAGTCCTTACAGCCAACACCATTAGGTGCTCACACTCTGGCTGCAAAACCCACCCACCTATGCGCTCTAGGAAACAGGGACACTCGATGGTGGCCGTCAGCCCCCTGCCTTGCTCAGAGTGTGTCCACCTGCTGCAGCCAGATGCCTGTGCCTACACCAATCACCCATGCCTGTCTAGGACTGTAAGTGAGAGTGTACACCACACACTTGGTAGCTATCTACCTGGGCACCTGAGCTGAATCCATACAAGAGGAGTGGGCAGACTTCTGAGCTCACATGCCTAGTAACAGATCTAACCACCTGGTGACAGGACATTAGAGCTTCAAAGGTGCCAGTAATCAAAATAGCGTATATGAGCTGCTTATTTGGGCATATCAAAACAAAACAAGAAGCTAGGTCACAGTAAGCAAACATTAAATAAATAAATATAATAACTTATTGATGGCTCGGAGAAAACAGTCAATATCAAATCACATAAAGAGACAATCCATGATGGCTTCACCAAGCTCCCAAAATAAAGAATATAGAAATTTTCCAGAGGAGGAAAACTTCTTGGAATTACAGGAGACAGAATACAAAGATTAATATACAGAACTCTTCAAGAAATTAGGAAGGTAATTAATCAAAGTGCAGAACATGCAATAGAGGAAATTAAAAAGATTAGAGAAGAGCATAATGACAAATGAAACAAGCTGCAAGAATCCACAGAGAGACAGCAATCAGAAATCCAAAAGATTAAAATTTCAGAATTAGACAACTCAATAGAAGGTCCTAGGAGCAGAATTGAGGCAATGGAAGTCAGAATTAATGAGCTTGAAGATAAAACACTTGACACCAACTTATTTGAGGAAAAATCAGATAAAAGGATTAAAAAAAATGAAGAAACCCTAAGAATTATGTGGGACTCTATCAAGAGGAATAAATTATGAGTGATTGAAGTACCAGAACAAGGGGGGATAACAGAAAATACAGAGAGAATTGTTGAAGATTTGTTAGCAGAAAATTTCCCTGATACCGTGAAAGATAACAAGATATCTATCCAAGATGCTCATTGAACCCACATAAGGTAGATCCCAAAAGAAAGTCACCACAACGTATTATAATCAATCTTGCCAACACCAAACATAAAAAGAAAATTTTGAGAGTGGCTAGGGAAAAACAAAAAGTAATCTACAAAGAGAGTCGATAAGAATAATCTCGGACTACTCAGCAGAAACCATGCAGGCAGGAAGGCAATGGCATGACATATATAAAGCCTTGAAGGAAAAAGCTGCCAGCAGAATTATCTATCCAGCAAAACTGTCTCTCAGATATGATGGCAAAATTAGGGTATTTCAGATAAACAGAAGTGTAGGGAATTTGCAAAAACCAAACCAGAATTACAAGAAATACTAAAGGGAGTCCTCCAGTTAGAAAATCAATAACATCAGATAACAACCCAAGAGTACAACACAGGACAGAGCAAGCAGATATCAACCCAGATAGGGAAGTCACAAAAGTAAATCAAAGCTAAAACACTGAAAATAGGGAAACAGATGTCAATATGTAAAAGATGAAAACATTAAAACAAAAAAGAGGGACTTAAAAAATGTAGACATAGACTTTGCATGTGGAGAGGAAGTCAAGATGATATAAAGAAATAAAAGACCAGTATAAACTTAGAAACATAGTGGTAAATATTAAGGTAACCATGAAGGAAACTAACAATTCTACAAGTCAAAATAAAAAACTAGAAAAATATAGACTCAGCAAACACAAAATCAACAACAATGAAAAAGATGAAAAGAAAATACATAAAGATAAACGACTCAGCACAGAAAATTAAGTGGAACAAAGAAACTGACAAAAAAAGACATCAAAATGACAGCACTAAACTCATGCCTATCAATAGTTACACTAAATGTAAATGTACTAAATGCACCAATAAAGAGACAGAGAGTGGCAGACTGGATAAAAAAACGCGATCCGTCTATATGCTGCCTACAAGAGACACACCTTGGTCTCAAAGACAAACAAACAAAAACTTAAAGGATGGATAAAAATAAGCAAACAACACTAAAAAAAGAGCAGGAGTGGCAATATTAATCTATGACAAAATAGACTTTAAAGTAAAATCCACCAGAGAGGATAAGGAAGGACACTATATAATGATTAAAGGGTCAATACACCAAGAGCACATAACTATAATAAATATTTATGCACCCAATGACAGGACTCCAAAATACATAAAACAAACTCTAACAGCATTGGAAAGAGAGATAGACAACTCCACAATAGTAGTAGGAGACTTCAACACTCTTCTTTCGGTGAAGGACAGAACATCCAAAAAGAAGCTCAATAAAGACACGAAGACCTAAATGCTACAATCAGCCAACTATATCTCATAGACATATACCGAACACTCCACCCAACAGCAGCCAAGTATACTTTCTTTTCCAACACACATGGAACAGTCGCCAGAATAGACGACACATTAGGCCATAAAGCTTGCTTTAACAAAATTCAGAGCATCGACATATTACAAAGCATCTTTTCTGACCATAAAGCCATAAAAGTAGAAATCAGTAACAGAAAAAGCAAGGAAAAAAAATTAAGCACATGGAAACTGAACAGCACCTTGCTCAAAAACTGCTGGATTATAGAAGAAATTAAGGATGGAATAAAGAAATTCATAGAATCAAACGAGAATGAAAACATATCTTACCAGAACCGTTGGGACACAACAAAAGCAGGGCTCAGAGGTCAGTTTATAGCAATAAATGCACACAACCAAAAAGAAGAAAGGCCAAAATCAAAATATTGACCCTTCAACTTGAACAAGTAGAAAGAGAGCAGCAAAAGAAGCCCTCAGGCGCGAGAAGGAAGGAAATATTAAGAATTAGAGCAGAATTAAATGAAATGGAGAATAGAAAAGCAATTGAAAGAGTTAACAAGACCAAAAGCTGGTTCTTTGAAAAGATCAACAAGATCGATACACCATTGGCCAAACTGACAAAGGAAAAACAGGAGAGGAAGCAAATAACCCGTGTAAGAAGTTAGATGGGTGATATCACAACAGACCCAACTGAAATTAAAGAATCTTAACAGAATACTGTGAAAAACTGTACTCTTAACAAATTTGAAAACCTAGAGGAAATGGACAAATTTCTAGAAACTCACTACCTACCGTTGATGTAGAACAAATAAATAAACCCACAACAAAAGAAGAGATTGAAAAGGTATATAAAAAACTCCCAAGGAAAAAAAGCTCTGGCCCAGATGGCTTCACTGGAGAATTCTACGAATCTTTCAAAGAAGAGTTAAGACCACTACTACTAAAGGTATTTCAGAGCACAGAAAAGGATGGAATACTCCCAAACTCATTCTGTGAAGCCAGCATAACCCTGATACCAAAACCAGGTAAAGACACCACAAAAAAGA